CAATAAAAACTTTTTATATATACTTTCAAAACATTTATGATTTTTTTTTCTCTTAAAGGTTATTTTCTTTTGTTAAGGTTATTTTAAAAAGAAAACACACTGAAATCTAGAATTCTGGCGAACATTGTCCATCTTTTTCGATTTTCAATTTCGATGTTTGCCATAGAATATTATTAAGATATAGTCTAACAACAAAATTGAATTTTTATTTCGAAAATTCAGTTAGCATTGAACAATCGCTTGTCAACAAAACAAATACATCATGATAAAAGTTGTGCATTTATTATCGTCAATTTCGTATGTATTCCGCAAACCTGACTCATTCCAATTCAATACTGTATTAATCTAATAGAAGTGCTTGAAGCTTATAGTTGTATAGCTTTACACACACTTGAACAAAATATTTAATATAATGCTCATTTTCAAATATTAAATTAATAATAGCAAAGATAAACAATTAGATCTTGCCTGAGACAACTCAAATAAAATGAGACATACGAAAAATAATTTTTTTCGATTTTTTTCAGCTACCGAAGAAAATAGATTTATACCAATCTTTCGTGACGAAGAAAACGAAATTTTTAAAATTAATTTAATATAAATCCACTTTTCAAAAATGGGATAAAATCGGTTCGTTTTTTAAAAGATTTCATTAGATTTTCTTTAACAAATAATTCATTTTAGTTATTTTCAAAAAAAAATAGTCAAAATCGATTGTTCATGATTTTTTTAATCAATTTTCTGTCTAGAAGAATTAATAAAAAAAATTCTTTCTCGCTAATAATTAATTGAAAGGCATACTTAGAGTTAATTCATTGGTTCAGATCAGTAATATCTCTTACGCATCTTTTATCAAATGAATAATTTTAGCACAACAATTCTGTGATCTAAATTAACTCTATGAGACGAAAGATCAATTTTAATATTTTCTTTCTGAATAACCAATAAAGGGTTAGATGGTTTCTTCTATAAATGTTCAAACACCATTGTCTAAATCCTAAAGGTACTTCAATTGACCTTCTATAAGATCGATTAAGTACTTGCATCTATGGAAAATGAACACGTAGACATTTATTTACAACGAATGTGCTCATTTAGAAAAAAGAGAAAATTTAGTATTTATACTAGGTTGTATTTAATTAATCTATGCTTGTCAATAAAAACATAGAGTCAAAAAATGTTCAAAAAATCGTTTTTCGCAAAATTGAATGAGACTTGTTAATATAACATATAGTTTGTATCAGTTTTAGTTCATTCTCTAGATTTGATAGAAACTTATCTTCGCAAGCGAAATTCATTAAAATGGTAAGTAGAAAGAAACTTCTTAAATTATTTAAAAATAAAAACTACTTATATTTATCTGATATGTTGTTTGAAACAAATTAATCAAAAACAAATGATTTTTTTCATGGGCTTGCCACATAAAGTGTTACATGTTTTAATTCTTACAAAACAATAGAGGATTAATCAATTGATTAAATTCACGATTATAGACATTAAAATGAAAAGCATAGCATTTGAGCAAGCAATTATAGTGCCTGCTTTATTTTATTCTGTATTCTAGTGTATTACGGCATTTATATACATTTTAGCACAACACTTATAATTCTTAATAATTTCTAAATTAATGCTGATTTTGATATAATAGTTTGTTTCTTTTGGAAAAAGATAATTCATTCTTCTAATGGTTAAGTTTTTCATTATAACAAACCATCATTTAGTCATTCAGCTGTCGAATGGTTTTTATAATTCAAACTGATAATATTTTGTATTTAAAGATCTTTTTATAGAAAAAAATATAATCATCTCGTGGATAGCTCTTATATGGATCGATCATTGAATTAATCTTCAACAACTCATACATGAATGTACAATAGGCTTAAGTTTCGTAAGATATTTTTTTAGGCGACAACCTTAAAAATTAGAAGATTTATTAAACTGAACAAACTAGAAAAAACTCTGATGATACTAGTATACGATGGAGAAATAATACTATGATTGTTTTTTCATACAATTGGCGCAGAATTATCAAAGTAGTTATGTATTCTAATTATTGTTATTTTCTATACAAGTACAGTAAAAGAAAATGAAGTTGTTTGACGAAATGAATTTTTTCAGAAAATACTGACTTTCATGACATTATTTAATAGTAGATCATGCTGCAATACATAGAAAAAAGTTGATTATAGGCTGGTTGTGTAGAAAGATCAAGTAATAAGTCATAATGCATTTTAATCCGTGAAAATGAAAAAGTAATACGAAGATAATATTGTCATGATTCACTCGCTCGTATTTCACAAACAAACAAAAAATAAATCGATCAACTTTGAGTTAAACTAAAAAAAAGCTATCATAATAAAAAAGATTCTCGCGTCTGTTCATTTTAATTAACTATTTTATAAACGAATAATTTTAATTCATTTATCTCAAAATCGATTAAAAAGAATAAACTGATTAAAAAAGCAATTAGAAAAAATAAGTAACAAAGTGTTGCTTTTAAACTGGCTCTATCAATTTCGTATAATGAGGGAAAATATTTTACATTAAGATTACCAATGATTTTTCGGTAATTTTTCTTGGCATAAAAAACTCTTAATAAAAATTCAATTCATTTTATAATTATTTCACTTTATTGAGACCATCAGTAACGGCTTGATGTATATGTATCAATCTACCATTATATTTTTCTTTTATGAAAAACTAATCTCGAATAAACCATCATACTTTTTTTTTAATTGCGAAAAATGATCTTTTATGCAACAAGTAAATTCCAAAGAAATAATTTATATTCATATACCAACTATGAATGGCAAAGATTCTCAAGAGTTCATTGAAGCTTGATTCTATTTACTTATTCGTACATTTGAATGTGTTAAAATAAAAAATTTGTTAATTGTTTTTATGTTCCATGAGAATCATTTACATTTTATATGATATAATAAGTTAGGATTATTTGAATAATTCTTTTTTATACTATAAGGTTTTTTTCTTTATATAAGTTTTGCTTCCATTATCTCATTTTCTACAATTTCTTTTTCGTTATTTCATGCATTTCAAACTCAACTAAATTCTAATGTCAACTATGACATATATTTACTCAAGGTTGAAATTTAACCAGTAGTTCAGTATTCTCATGCTCTTATTATTAAAACAAAACATTGTAATTAAAATCTTTACGCCTTGTAAATAGAATTTTCTCATGAATAAAATTTCATCAGTCGTTGAATGTCCCTAGGTCATTCTCATGAAAAAATATTACAGCGAAAATATCTACTCATTACAGAGAGAAATTCTTCATATGTAAGAACAACAAAAAATCATTCAAGAAAGCTGTTTAACTAACCACTTAATGTTCCCAATATTCTTATCATAAAAAATTGCTGATTGATTTTGACAAATAGGATAATAATCTTTACAGATCTTTATTGTCAAATAAACTATAAGGATCTTTAAATGACAAATAACCAATATTTCTTATTTATACGTTGAGGATGTCTTTTATTAAAAAAAGTGGAAAATGCTACTCCAAACGCACCTGCCACAAATACATAGACACAAATAAAATGAAGATGATTCTCGATAATAATAAATCTTGATAGATGATACGTTCAAATTGGATAATTTACCTTTCTGTTTCATCAAATAAAAAGATAGACTAAGAACCTTATTCAGTTATTATTTTGACTCAACAAAAGATACTTGATGAAAAATTTCCTTTAATTTTTTTCTTTTGCTGATCATTTATGTAAATGAATATTCAATTAATATTTTCATAGCATCTTTTAACTTTTATATTATCTTGTGAGTTTCAGCTTTTAAAGTTTGTTTAAAAGAACTGTTGTTTTACTTTTATCTAATATAAATGGATCATCTGATAAAGATAACGCTTCAATGCAATTGATTATTTCTCGAGAAGAAAAGAAAAAAAACTGAAATTTCATGTATTCATTGATATATAAATGTTTTTTACTGACAGTTTTTAAAGACTATTAAGAGATGAAGATATTGGAATATTTTTATGATTTTATTCCTTCTAATGCATCTCCTAATTATTCCTGGTAAAGATGATAGGGTAATCAAGATGCGCCTTAGATACAAGATTTCTTCTCTTCAGATAATGATAAACTTCCTCAAACAGCTATTAATTTTCTTTAATTCTTTCTTTTTTTCTTTCTACATTCAATCTGCTTGTCGCTTTTATACATTATTACTTTGCCACTTATTGTTCGTATTACAATATCCCTATTTGTCTTAATTTTTCTCTTTTTATCGTGCATTTGTTATTCCTCAAAATCTATATATGAAAAATAAAGACTAGTGCAACAAAAATATTTGAATGTATGTAACCGTTTGATGTTGTAAACTCGATACCTTGTAATATTTTAAAGTGCAAACAATTGGAAATACGACAACGAATTGAATTTCTAAATATATTGAGATCAAATTTCTTCGACTCTTCATGAGTATATAGAGCGAGTGTAATATATGAAAACCCAATGTACTGCTATCTCGTCTCGGATCATGTGGTCGTACGTAAAAATAAAATTTTAAGACTTGATTCACAACACATAATTGAAAGTTTATCCCATTGAAAACAAGCTTAACCGGAATAATTCTACTTGAACAAGTACACAAACTGCAATTCTGCGTGCGGATCGAATTGAGTTGGGTTGATCATGGTTCAAAAGCCATCGTTATTTTTACGTGAGCACATCGTTAATAGAATATCCATACATTTCATCAATGAATTTTATAAAAAATTGCAGATCATATATAATGAGTCCAAACATTTCAGAAGTTAAACCTATGATCTAAAATTTTTTTCAATAGCAACAATCCTATGTCGATGAACAATGATAATGGTTATGTATATATATTGAACGCAAAAAATTACGATAATATGAAAAGTTAATTACTATGTCACTACAATCACACACTACAAAAAATGAAGACGTTTCGTCCATTGATCATTTTCTTTTTTATTGAATCGTAAAAGAAAACTATTGAGGATGTTCTATTTCAAACTTGAGAGCCATTTCTAACAATTCTTCATCAGAAATTTCGAACGTCGTTTGAACACTTGCACGAGCGTTGGCAGCTGTCTCCGAGGCGCTAATGAATTTTGGTTGAGCAATAGATTTTGTAACAACACTCGGAACTCGTTCTTCGCATAAAGAATGATCAACCATATCCTTCTTTACCTGACCTTCCAATTGATCAGATGCAACTCTTTTCGTTACACTTTCTACTTCAGTTGCAGTTACCTATGGTTTGGTTAATAGAAATATCTTATCCTACAATCCACAGTTTCTACCTTATTATCAGCTATTACTGTTGTTAATTTTGGAGGAATATTGGTATTCATAGTTGAGTCTATCATCAATATCTATGTGATAAAATCAGTTCGTCGACTATTACCTGCTGGTATCTCTAATCTGAAATATCTATCAATAATCACAATGTTCGATCGATAAATATTAGCAATGCGTATGTATATGTATTCAGCAGAAAAAGCTACAATTATGTTAAAGGTTAAGCACGACATTACTACAGTCACACACTACAAAAGGAAAACTTTTCGTCCATCGATCATTGTGCATTCTAGTGAATCGTAAAAGAACATTATTGAGGATGTTTCTTTTCGAACTCAATAGCCATTTCAAGTAACTCTTCATCAGGAATTTCTGGCATCATCTGAATGCTTGTACGAACATTAGGGACCAGTTTAGACGCACTAACAAATTTCACTTGATCAAAAGATGTTGGAACAAGAACCCGAGCTTGTTCTTCGCGTGAATAATGATCAACCATGCGCTTTTTGGCTTGACCTTCATGTTGATCAGATGCAGCTCTTTTCGTTCCTCGTTCTATTCCAGTTGAATTGACCTGTTATCACATTAATAAAAAACAATATATCAGAGTATGATATCGTTAGTTCTCACCTTATTATCAGCTATAATTGTCGACAGTTCTGAGAAAATATTCGTGTTAATTGCTGAATCTATCATACATAGGACATGACACAATATAGTCTTGAAAAATTAATTCAGCACAATACTCACTTGATGATTGAGACATTTCGAAAGGATAAATTGAGAGATAGATGTAGGTGTCTATGTTAGTGAAATCTACAATAAATATATATTATTATCTAAATTTTATAGATAGATTAGAATGTTAGGAAACTTTTATTCGTATCAGTTAATAATTAGTGAGATTATCGATATGTATACAGTAAGTTAGTACTATATATATGAAACCAAAACGAGTATTTGAAAAAATTTTATCAAATCTAATTTATCATCATTTTCACAAAGTTCAATTAAACAACGCAAACATGATCTAGAGGATGAACACCAATGAGCAGTTGTATTAACAGATAACTAATTTTATCTTGTCTGTTTACACTTTCCCAATTGAGAATATTTGTAAAAATATTCACAATGGAAAAATCCGACATAACATAAAAAATTTCATCAATAACCACAATCTAATAGATGTTTGACAAGTATCATTTATATTGCAATAATTGAGGACAAGCCATATGCATGAATTTTTCTTGAAGCCGAAAAGTGTCAATATTGTTTAGGAATGGTCGACGAAATTCTTTTGTAGCCATTTGAATTTCACCGTCATCGTCAATATACTGCTGATGTTCAACTCGACACAATGGAATTTCCTCTTGCGCCATTAATGAATCAAAATCACCATCGAAATCCATAGGTTCTAAAAGATTGAATCCTCTGCTACAATATTTTGCGATACGTGTGCACAAATGCTTTGGGCTTTGAGCATGTAGAGTATAAACAATAAAGGATCGTGTTGCAAGAGCTTGCAAGAATGGAAATGTTGAAACGATTTTATCTCCTAAAAGCCTCATATATATATAATGAACAAGTTCCCTAGACTGAAAGGATAGGGTCTAGAAACCGAAATTCACCTGTGTCTGTCTGTCAGTCTGTCTGTCTGTCTGTCTGTAACACTTGGTACAAAGTACCATAGTCGTGGTACAAGTGACCATTTTGGTGGTACAAAGTACCATAGTCGTAGTACAAGTGACCATTTTTATGGTACAAAGTACCATGGTCATGGTACACGTGACCATTTCGGTGATACAAGTGACCATTTTGGTGGTACAAGTGACCATTTTGGTGGTACAAAGTACCATGGTCGTGGTACACGTGACCATTTTGATGGTACAAGTGACCATTTTGATGGTACAAAGTACCATAGTCGTGGTACAAGTGACCATTTTGGTGGTATAAAGTACCATAGTCGTAGTACAAGTGAGCATTTTTATGGTACAAGTGATCATTTTGGGGGTACAAGTGACCATTTTGGTGGTACAAAGTACCATAGTCGTGGTACAAATGACCATTTGCATGGTACAAGTGATCATACTCGTGGTAGAAATGACCATTTTTTTCATGGTACAAATAACCATTTTCGTGGTACAAAATATCATAGGCGTAGTACAAATGACCATTTTCATGGTACAAATGACCATTTCTCATGGTACAAGATACGATTTTCATGGTGCAAATGACCGTTCTGATGGGGCAAATGGCCGCAGCTTTGGTACAAATGACCATATTGATGGTACAAATGACCACAGCCTTGGTACAAGGGACCAAAATCGTGGCACAAATGACCACATCTTTGGTACAGATGACCCCATTGATGCGTCAAATGACCGTATTGGTGGTACGAATGGCTCTCCCAATGACGCAAATGGCCTTTGTTACAGTACTAACGATGACATCCATACTATGGTTAACCATAGTCGTGGTTATTCGCACCATTATTTTGGTCATTAGAATTACTTTCTTGATGATTTACACTATGGTATCGTGCACTCGTGCTGTCTCTATGGTCAGTGACTATAGAGATGGCACGAGTGAGATAATGCTAAATATGGCGGATAATTCGGTCGAAATTAGAATAAATATGAAAGAAATGACAGTAACTACGGCCTGGGTGACGAAAGATATAATCGAAAATCCCTTAAAGACATTCGGGATATTCGCAAATGCGACACACTTGATCCTTGATTTGTCAAAGATATGACTCAAAAGCGCAAAAATGTGTTCAAAACCGTCACAATAATGGTCGTCGCAGTCAAAGTGTTACCTGACTGACCACACAAAGTGTTCAAAACACTATGAATATGATGATGTTTTCTGTATTTGTCGTCATATGTACCATTCTTGTGACCACTGTTCCTGTGTTTTTTGAGAAATTTTTGCAGTTTATTGCTCGTTTCGAAACAGCCCTATGGTCCTTCAGACCCTATTTGTGATCATCTGAACCGTAGTTAACATGTGGTTACTAGATTACAGAGACAGGCGGACGCAGATGCACATCTGTTTTTAGACCACTAAGTCAGTCTGGGGTTAAGCTAATCGACTGTCGATTAGCGTTACTTGTGATTAAAAGGATATAAATATTTACCAGTGAAGGCTACTTGACAAATGTCCATGTCAAAATTGTGTAGAATGTGTGAAAGTGGATTTTTCGACATTCCCGTAGCTGTCCAAGTGAACTTCAGTCGAATGTTACATGGTAGGAATACATTGTAGTCAGGCGTTCCTGGAATTTTTTCCATTTTTATTTCGTTCATTGAACCTTGTGAAACCATTTTATTAAGGTTATTGACAGTAGCGTCTATTGATTTCTTAAAATCTAATATATCATATACATAGTACATCAAGCTGACATCTTGTTGTTTGGTATCCGGAAACGGTGATTGGCATAGTGCATTCAGAACACATCCTCCAACTACTGCCCATTTTGAGAAGTCGATTGCTCCTAACCATGCATCTGATGAAAAATGAGTGGCCAAATTCTGTTTAAACTCTTCCATTGTACGCACAAATGTCATATTCGAACCATAATTTCTATTTTTATTCATCTTAAAATACGTGTTAACTAGAATTAATCGTATGCATGGCCTTTTAGATATTATTTTTTAATTCCCTATAGTTATTACCTTTGAACAAATTTTTTTCATGGTCATTTAACATGCGTTTCGATCCAATCGTATGACCATACCACTCGTAATCAAGAAGTCCAAAATCTGCTTTGTAACAAACAGTGTTCAACGGTAAGAGGCGGCAATAGCATTGGAAAAGAGGAGTCTTATAGGCTTGACACAACTTCGAAAATCCCTGAATACTAAAGCACGGATGAATATATAAACGTTCAGACGGCTCCATGACATCAGAATAGCGCTTTGAGACAATAATGTGTCGTTCATCATCGACTTCACACTCATCCGTGATACTTCCAAATAGTGCATGTGGTAGTGAAATTCTTTGATGACCACAGAACACTTTGATCAATTCAATAAAATGATGATCTAATGTTTTTGCAATTGACCAGAATTGTTTGCTACTATTCACTGCTTCGATAAAATTCGTCACATCTATTCCATCAAGGAACGTTAATAGACGGCATCCGACAACTTGATTAAGATGAACAACTGCAGTTTGTCGCATCACCTGTCAATCAATATTTAATCGTTATCAAAGATTGAATAGCAAATATATCTAAAAATGTTTGAAAACAAATGATTGTTATCAAATGATTCAATTAACATATATATCCGTAATTAGTCCGCTTTGCTCTATTTTTCTTCCGCCTCCATCTTTCTTTTTCGTTCTTTTCATATATAGGAGGTGAGTGTGGGGGTGGGAGTTGGGGATGTCTTCAGTTAAACCGCACCCACACGAATACCCTATGTGAATGACCTGACCATATGAGTTAAATTAGAGAATTTTGTGTTTGATAAAAATGTACATAAAGATAAATTTATATTCATCGAATAGATACTGCAGAGAATCCAGAAAACTTATGTAGTTATAACCTGACAGTAACATAAAACTAAATCCATTAATTTGCGTTAAATGAATATAAACTGAGAAAAGCAAAAGTCAATGATGAAAAAACATGATCCATTTCAATAACGTTCTTGCAAAATGATTCATATCATATGAATTTCTTTGCTTTCTGTGATCATTTCAAACAAGTATTTTTCTCTATCTTTTTCTTGTATGTTCTGTACATCCATGTTGGAAAAAATGATGTTTTATGCAAAGCACTCGTGCAGGTTTTTTCAAAACTTATACATCAATAAGCTAATTCATCATTATAGATTTTATGAACTGTCTGATTCTTTTATGAAACAAATCAAAAGACGACAAAATAATATTATTATTCATGATAATAATGATAACAAAAGGAAAAATATTGACGATAAAAAATGATATCTGGTTGTTCTTTTAATGGAAACATCTTTTATTTTTTAATAACGGTAAACGAAACAAACTGGTTTGTCTATTACAAAGCTATTTCTTTGTTTTATCAAATCTCTTTCTCTCTCTCTCTCCTCTTTTTCAGTTTAATAAAAGAAAATATTACTACTCTTGAAAATCTTTCAAATGAACTTATTTATGAAATATTTGAATTTCTCAATTATCATTATGTATTTCAAGCTTTTTACGATCTTAATCAACGATTTCAAAATCTTCTTCTTAATTCAAATCTTCCAATTAAAATCAATATTTCATTCATATCAAATTCTAAATTACAACATTATTTAACACATATTATTAAATCTTATACTTATCGAATTGAATTATTTCGATTATCAAATCCATTTATTAATCTATATTTATTACTACTACCAATAATGAAAAATTTAATTCAACTTAAAATACTTATTTTAAATAATATTGAATCGAATTAAATTGAACAAATTGTAAATCATTTATCTTCTTCACCTGTTTTATCTTCATTGATTATCATATCGATTATTACTATTAAAAATCATAAGAATATTTATTATAAAATATTTCATTTACCTATACTGAAATATTGTCAGATAGTAATTGAATTATTACAATGTTCAAAATCATCACCTGTTGCTACAAATGAATTTAGTACTATCGAACATCTTATCATTAATCATGAGATTTCAATTGATCAACTTCCTATTTTATTATCTTATGTTCCACAACTACGTCATTTATCGATTGGTAATCTAAAGGAACCTAAATTCAACCGAGCCGAAAGAGGTTCGATAAGCTTAAATTATTTAATAAATGTTTCTCTTAAATTACATAATATTAATTTTGATGATTTTGAAATCTTAGTAATAATTTATTTTCGTCAAATTCAAATTTTAACTATTGCAATACAGTATATTGGATTTTATGGTAATAGTACACAATATTTAAATGCTGATCGATGGGAACAATTAATTTCAACTCATATGTTAAATCTACGTGTCTTTGATTTTTCAACTTTCATATCGTGTACTGAATTCCAACGATGAACGTCAAACATTTGAAACTCTTATCAATAAATTTAATTCAAAATTTTGGATAGAACATCAATGGTTCTTTGATCATCATTATCATCAAATAATATGGTCGAATGCTGCTATCTTCTATTCAAGAAATCCATATAGGTAAAAAGAAGAAGAAATTATGTATTACACTATATTTATCATCTATTTCTTTTCGGAAGAAAAGATTATGTATTGTATGATGAACTAGTCGAAAATATCTGGTCATCTCGTTTTGGTATTAATGAAGATCCAATTCATCATATTTGTATTCATGGTAAAAATATGATAAAAGAATCCATTGATCATTTTCCAAATGCTACTATACTTACATTTTGTGAAACATTTGAAGTATGTTGTGATTCAATTGCCATTGATTTAAATCGTTCTCTTCCATTGAAACAATTAACTAAATTAACTATTGAATGTCATCGTTTTTCTTTTGAACAATTAATAAAACTTTTACAATTTACACCTAATGTTCATGTATTAAAACTTGATTCTATATTACTTTATCGAACTGATTCTGTTTCAATTCAACAAAATGAATTATCGAAATTGGTATCTAATATGAATACTATAACAAAAGTAACAATTAGTAAAGAAATTACGTTAGAAAAAATTCAATTACTTACTACTATTTTTCTTCGAATGGAATATCTTACTATTAATTTATATAAACAAGATTTGCAACCAATAGTTCCATTTTTATTATCAAAATCTAACAATAAAACTCGTTATTTATCCTCATTGTGTATTTCACAGCAATGTAATGATCTGATGACAATATCGAAAACTTTAATTAAATCAAAAAACTTCTTCATGATTATACTCTAAAAGTTATTCATCGAAAATTGTATTTATGATGTTAGAATTGATTTGTTAAATAGATATCTCGATTTTGAATATAGTTTGTTTTTGAATAAATATGAAAATTAATCGTTAATATACGTTTCTAGGTTGACTAAGCGAAAAATGAAGATATTTATGATAGAACTAAAAATCTCTTTATTATACCGAATAACATTCACGATGATAAAATAGATATCATAAAGTAATATTCCACTGTAATTGTGTATTTCTTAGCGAATCAAATTTTAATAATTATTTATTGAGAATTATTAAACTATGATTGTCTTATCTATTCTGATTTAAGAGGATGACCGAAAATTAAGAATTTTGATACCCTCTTTAATACCATTGTTTCATTCAATTCTGGCATACATGGTTAATATGATGTTGTATATTAACTGACATATCTCTTTGAAGTAGCAATGAAGAGAAGATTTTAAATACGATTTTTTTCGTCCTTCTACACACAACCTTGTGTATTAAATAACTACAATCATACAAAACTCTATGTTCATAGACTTCAAGAGATAATAATACAAGTTCGAGCAGTATCTTCCAGATCAGATCATTACGACAAATTCAAACGAAATATATTTCTTCATAAATCCGATCAAATGAGATTATCTTCTCACAAGAGAACGTTTCCAACTGTCTAATCACTTTTTGATTTGGACATCTGTGTATAAGATAGACCTCGATGAGATATGAAAAACTCCAAATGCATAGCTGCCCTTAGACGTTCTGTTCAGAGTTATAGTCATTTTACTGGTGTTTTAGCCTATGGCATGATGTATATACCAAAAACTTGAATGGCAATATTTTGGTCTGAGTTTTTACTCACATCTAATAGTCAAAAAAAAAGCTGCTAGCGCAATCCCTGCGAGATTAAAATGTGAAACACGATATACCTATTGTTACTAATTCCCTAGAAAGTCGTCTTTTTATGTAAATTCGGGTATACTTCGTCATTATTCCTTTACTTTTTGCCATAGAACTTCAACAAGAAAATATTGCAGAGATATTTTAACTAGACTCAGCTTATACATGGCTTCTGATAGTACCATGCAGACATCTGTCACCATATGAGTGGGTGCAAATTTCTCGCCCTATATATTTCAACACTCTTTTTAGGTAATATTTTACCAAACGGAAAATTTTAGCATTCTTCGTGAGATATGGATGATCTTTTGGACTTTTATATTTCGGGAAGGAAACATTCTCTTGAACTGAAATTTTCACGGCATCCTGTTCACAAATAGATCTGTCTGTGAGTAAAAACTCAGATCGAAATATTGCCATTCGCTTTTTTGGTATATACAATGCTATAAGCTAAAATCCCAGTAAAATGACTATAACTCTGAACAGAAGGTCTAAGGACATCTATGCATTTGGAGTTTTTTATACCTCATCAAGGTCTATCTTATGCACATAGTCCAAATCCAAAAGTAATTAGACAGTTGAAAACGTTTCCTCATGAGAAGAAGATAAATTTTCTTTGATAGTTATTCATTTGATAAGAATATCTAATCAATCAAGATGAAATTTTCGTTTAAGAATAAAACAATGAGGTTGAAAATGTTTTTTTCGTAATGGTGAAGATATATAGAACTTTCTTTGATCAAAAATCGACTATTTCTGCTTCCTTATTTTCTCTCATTTGTCTTTCAGAAATCTATTTTTTTTTATTTTTCAATAACTGTGAAGAGATGAAGAAAAACAATCAATAGATCTACGATGATATCATAAATATCAACAGTTTTTTTTGGAATATTCATATAGAAAAAAAAATTTCTTTGAAATTCGAAGATTTCTGCCTATTCTTTCAATAAGAATCAATTGATAATGAGAATTCAAATGATAAGAAAGATCAGAGCTTTGACCAACCTTCAACTTTATTTTGTAAGCAAAACAGATTTCATATTTCATTTCTTCAAATATCTCTTCTAGAACATCAATATATATCCTCTAGAAATGTTTGGAAACTATTTCTCTCTTTGATGCAATCAATAATTCTATTAAAAAATAGTCTTCACCTACATCGATTGTTTTTTTTCGATAAAAAATAATTGATGAGTATGTTTTCGATTTATACCATTGACATCTTCCAATTGGTTTTGAGTGAAAAGTTCTATTGACAAATCTCATGGAATTCGTATCGATCTTCTTAGATCGATCAAGTTCTATTCGAGATAATTTCTTGTTATGATTAGAAACAAAAAGGAAAGATAAAAGTGAATTTTAATCAAGAAATAATTATTCGTTGACCAACTATCAGAAAACGTTCTAATCAATGAAAATAGATTGATGGTACTTAGAAATATTCATTGAACAATATGAAATCATTTCAATGGATCTATCTTGAATATCGATTCGCTGATCAGTCATAGGTTTGATCGAGTAAGTTTCGTCTCTATTTAGTGAATAATCTTATTTCATCCATTGAATTTCTATTAGAAACGAATAAGAAAATTAATGTGGGTCAAAAGTAAAATTGAATTGATCATACAATTGAGAAAGATCATTGCAGAATCGACAATAAAAACGAATCGATATGAAATCATTGTTCTATTTTTCAATATATCAATTACAGATCATCTTATATTTGAATTTAGTCGAAAACCAATATAAGTAAATTCAATGAAATTCTTCCGAAGTCAGTCGAAACCAGTGATGCATATCCGAGCGATTTCTAATCATTGTCCCAATCTCCTCATTAAAAGACTTTTGTGGAACTCACGTTCTTTTTCGAAGAAAATAGTGAGTGTACGTTTTACGTTGAGATTTCGCGGCTCCCCCCCTTCCCCCCCCCGCCACCCCCCCCCCCCCCCCCCCCCCCAGCCCCCCCCCCACCACAAANGATGAAACATATTATAAATGAATTAAGTTTATAGAGAATAGCTAGTATCAGTTTGACTATGTATTTAAACTGTAGTTCATGAAAAATAGTAAAATAAAACACTATCCATATTTGTATAGCAAAAAAATGACTGATTATTTCTTTAACAGAACACATAATATCGATGAATTGTTATATACGCATACGCAAGATAAGCCAATTAAGAGAAATATGTAACAAGAAATATTCAGACATGTATTGTTCCTTAATTCTCATCACATGGAAATACAATATGATAATTCCAACAATGAAACGAATAAGTTTATCTAGATTTTAAAAAGACGCTATTTTCAAAAGGAGAAAAAAATAATTGTAATTCATCTTCATTTCATAAAATCATACTCTTTGTGGCTATTTCTTTAACTTTAATAAGGTATAAAGAAAAAAATGTACGCGAAGAAACTCCAGAAATTGTTGAAGACAATCATGAATCTGAGTTTGAATAAGAAAATCATAACATAAACTAGCGTATTTGTTGTCAAAGGTGTCAATTTTGATTTATCTTTCCCTTCCTTTCAGTTGCTTTGCTAGCAGACTGCCAGCAAAACGACTGAAAAAGAGCGAAAAGATAGATGAATGGACACTGTTTTATTTTACTATTTTTCATGAACTACAGTTTAAATACATAGTCAAACTGATACTAGCTATTCTCTATAAACTTAATTCATTTATAATATGTTTCATCAAATTTTTGAAGTACTTTTTAAAGAATTTTCGTTATGCGAAGCTACAGATTAGTTGATATTCAAAAAAAAGAAAACAAAAAGGTATGAAGAAGGAATAAGACAAATATCCTTATCATGTTTACGATGTGATCAAGTTGAACGAAAGTCTTATCACGAATTAAAAAAAATACATTATTTTTGGAGAAAATGAATAGTCAAGAGCTAAAAAATATTGAATAGAAATAGAAAAACACACATGATGTATATGTATACATACATCAAAGGAAACAATTAATCTATCAAAATGTAATTTAAAAAAATGTGTTGTGCCGTTACGCCGCGGCACGAGAACGGCAGAGCGGCCGGCCGATCAGCAAACATTTTGAAATGTTTCCTAATAGCTTTTCACTTTTCGAGTTTTATCTCATTATAACTCATGACTGCACAAAGTTAAATTCTCTACAACAATAGAGAGCTTAAACTTAAACTATTTCAAAGTATTCTTAAGGCAGATTTGTAACGCAAAAAGAGCTTATACTTTACTGAATGAAACCAATATTTTTCAATTATTCAAATATTCCCCTATATTTGAAAATAATTGCGAGATTTTAATCAAAGTACTCATCCTCTTCTTCGGTAATAAACAAAAATTATTCAAAAATTTGTTGTAGTTTATGTTCGAGAATTTTTTATAGCTGATTTATTTAATAAAAAGTTGATAAAATTCGTTAATATAACAATCAATTAAAATTTAATCCATTTTTTTTATTTTCTAAATTTGTTTATGAAGTATATTTCTAACAGAGACCAATTCAGCTATCAAAAATGAATATTTTTTAAAATTATTTGAAAATAAAAAGTAGACTGGTATTAACGTCTGACATTATATGAATAGAAGATAAGGAAAAGAGATTTTCTTGATATGGTTGTTTTATTTTACGTTATATCCTGAAGATATTTGGTATGACTTTTATGCGAGCTTGAGTACCTCATTATAGCTTCTGGTAGTTTCAGAGTAGATAGTGATTGCTATATATTCATTAGGGGTGTTTTTTTTGCAAAGTATAAACTATTTTACAATGGCTAAGTAGTTTACAATAACCGTCTTGCAGTTATCTAACCACTTATTATCCGTTATAATTCTAACTGATAAAAATTATAATTCCATTAAAATGTTATACAAATTATAAAACTATACATTGATAAACTTGTGCACTGTAGAATAATTGAATTCTCCTACAGAGTGATATATAAATGTAAAATGAAATAAAATTATGTGATTTTTTTTTCCACCAGACCATATAATCTAAAGTATAACATTTAATAAATTGATTAAGCTACAAGAATATTTTAAGTTTCTAATAAACAAATGTGAAATTTAAAATTCTATGATTTTTTCTTCTAAATTATTTCCAAAGTTTTTAATTATTAATATTTATGGCTGATTATAGTTGTTTTCAAAACAATTATAGCAAAAGAAAACAATATCTTTCAATAGAATCAAGACTAATTTTTATGATAAAATAAATTCGTTTTTAAAATATATAATGGGTTTCTTTGATGAATGATCGCACTATAGAGTATATATAAAGTAGTTAGGAAATCATATTTTCAATATTTTCATAATTCATGCACTCGGATCTTATGCAAAATATAGATAAATCGATCGACTTTCATTTATGCAGAAAAACAATATCACCACAAAAGACATTCCTGTCTCTTTATTTTAATTCATTATTTTGATAACAACTAATTTTGATTGACCTGTCTCAAAATCAAGTAAAATGAATAATCTCAGGTATGAAAGTCAGTTCATATTGAAATTGTGAATAATTGTTGAAATTGCTTGTGACACAGAGGATTCCATATAAAAAAAAACAATTAATTTTATCTTTATTTCATTTTTTCAAGAGTATGCTTTTCGACCTTGTGTATAGATGTCGGTCTCTCATTATATTTTTCTCTTTTGAAAAATAATCGAAAAAAAATAAATAGCACTTTTTTATTTTACAAAAGTGTTCTCTGGTGCAATTAAATCCAAAACGAATAATTTATATCCATATACCCACAGTACTTGGCAAAGATCCTGAAAAGTTTATTAGAATTTTATTTTATTTACTTATTTGTATAATAGAGCACGCAGTTTCAAATAAAACTAAAATGAATTACGATTAATAAACTTCGACATACAGCTAATTTCAGATTGAATTTTATATCTTTCTGTTTCATCAAACAAAAAGTATAATAATAAACTTCTGATTATAGCTATTATTTCAATCTAATTAAAAAATATTTGATGAAATTTTTTTCTAAGTATTCTATTTTATTATTGAACTATGAAAATGTTCAAGTGGCATTTTCATAACATATCCTTGCTTTTCTTTTCTTACTCGTGTTTCGTTTCTGAATTTGCTTTAAACATTAGAAAAAAGCTTTTTCTCTCTAATATAAGTGAATCATTCGGTAAAAATAACGTTTAGTGTAATTAAATATTTGGGAAGAAAATAAAAGAAAACAAAATCATAAATAAATGTACTTGTTGACATATAAAAATCTTGTTTGATGATATTTATTGAAATATATCAAAACAGATACAAAGTTTTTGGAATATTTTAATGATCGTATTCTGTCCAATATATTTGCTAACCGTCTTAGATAAAGATAAAGGATAATGAAAGTGTCCCTAAGATGCAAGATTTGTTGCTTTTAGATAAAAATAACCTCCGTCAAACATGTATCAACATTCGTTGATCTATTTTTCTCTTTTCATCCAACCTCTTTTTTCCAATCATATATTATTACTTTGTCATAAATTATTCTCAATATCATATTACCCTTTTTATAATCTTCTTTTTCTTAGACATCAGTTTTTTCTTAAAATCTATGTATGAAAAAGCGAATATTGACACAAAAAAAGAAGTTTCTATAATATATGACTCTTTGGTGTGACTGATTCGATACGTTTTACTACTTTAAATATAGAACATTTGGAAATAAGACATCGAATTAAACATCGATATATATTGGAATAAAAGTTCTTCGGTGTTCCATGAATTTGTTTGGAGAATGTAACGCATATAAGCTAATTATACTATTATTTTGGCATGAAATTATGTGATCGTATTGAAAAATAAACTTATTAATAAACAAGATTCAGTATATATAACTGAAATTTTACGACATTGAACATGAACCTTATGAGGACAACTCCATTTAAGCCAGTAAAATCTGTTATTTCTCATATGACACCAATTGAATTGTATATATGGTGGTAGGAAAAACAATCGTTAGTTTTACGTAGCCATGTAATTGGCAAAAAGTTCTAAAGTTGACATATAAACTATACACCAATTGTTCATTTCATAGATTGACAGCCCAAACACTTGAGACCGTAAATGGAAAATTTACTAAGTATGGTACCCTAATCATTTGGCAATATCCAATGCGAAATATTTATTAACCATTATTTACGCAACAAACTCAGTTAATCGACTACTACCAGTTACCATCTCTAATCTGAAATTAATTTCAATAATAATAATGTTATATCGATAACAATTAGCAATATATATGTAACTACGTTCAATATAAAAAACACGATTCTATGAAAAATTAAGTAACTACTACAACAGCACAATTGCGCACTACGAAAAATGAAGTTTTGTTTATAGATCATTATGTATTTTGTCGAACCATAATAATAATTATTAATGATTTTTCTTCTCGAATTCGACTGTATATGCAAGTAATTCCTCATCTGATATGTCAGGTATTATTTGAACGTTTGTACGAGCACTATTAGCCATCACAATTGCACTAACAAATTTTGGTTGATCAAAAGATTTTGGAACAATAGTTGAAACTTGTTTTTCGTGTACGTGATGGTCAACCATAACCTTTTTTGCTTCAGCTTCAAGTTCATCAGATGCAGCTCTTTTTGCTACGCGTTTAACTGTTGTTGAATTTATCTGACGTTTCACTGTTAGAGGTATTAGTTAATTAGATAGTGCGTTCTTACCTTATTGTCATGTGTAATCGTTGATAGTTCTGAGAAAATATTCATGCTTGATGTTGAATCTATCGTGCAAAAGAGATAAGATAATATAGTTTTGGAAAATTAATCCAGTACAATGCATACTTGAGGATTGAGACATGTTCAATATAAGTTGAGGGATAAACTTAAGTGTATATGTTATAGAAATCTACAATAATCACATAGCAATCGATAATGATTCATTTCTCTAATCAATAATTATTATCCTTCGTTCTGTTTCTCTTTCACTTTCACTTTCATATATTGCGTTCCATTCTTGCTTTTTCACTTTACCGCTTCTTTTGTGTTAATCATCTTTCCTTTCCTTTTCATTTACACGGAGAATGAATCGTAGCCAAACAAGTCAGCCTATCAAACAACTGAACATAGCTCGTATTATATGAACACTTTTTCAATGGCGATAGACAGCAGATTATGTTCGAAAAAAAAAGAAACACAAAAGCAGCCTGAAAAACAGTTAGCATGACCAATCTAAGAAAAAAGTATAAGTTTTTGATAACAAATTTCTATTACCGAACCATAACTTTTCACTTTTGTACCCGTGGTGTCAGATAGATTTGAGGTCTCTCATCTAAATTTAGTAATACCGCAAACTATGGAATGTTCTGCTTTTGAAGAGTAACTAATTCAAATCATTCATTTTTTTCTAAAAACACATTCTCATGCACTACTGTTACAGACCCCTCGTAACGTGTAGTCAAATCAATCAAGGTTCGTTTACCACGCTGAATTTCCCCCACAAAAAAATGTGTTATTTTATTTAGGAAAATTTGCCTTTATATACACAAGAGAAACATGAAGAAGAAGAAAAAGAAAAGAAAAGTAGAGAGAAGAGATGGATGGTTTGGGTGCTCCTTCGTGCGTCATGTCCAGTTGGCATTGAACAATCAAAAATGACGTTATTTTAATCTTTAACAAAAGACATGACGTCGTTTAATTCTACAGGGTAGGAAATAATATTATTCCAGGGGGGTAGCACTATGATTTCAAATAGCATTAACAATGAATTTAATACCAAATGAAAGCTTGTGAAAAATGGGGTTTAGGAGTATGATTGGCCATTCATAGTATGAGAATGGGCTATAGAATTGCGGAAAGTTTCAAATTTTAGATACATAATTGGATATTTCCATGGATAGTCAACCACTAAAACATCAGAGATTTTCGCCTTTCACACTTTATAGAACTCTCTTTCCTGATCATTTTGATAAAAAAAGTTTAAAATTTGATCAATAAATAACGATGCTAGGATCAAAATACTGATAATCTCAAGCTACCGTGGCTGATAGACCTGATATGTGTATGAGTATTTTGACCGTAGTATCGTTATTTGTTGATCAAAATTAAAATTTGTTTTTACCAAAATGATCAGCGAAGAGAGCTCTATAAAGTGTGAAAGGCGAAAAAAAGCCTGATGTTTTAGTGGTTGACTATCCGTGGAAATATCCTATTATGTATCTAAAATTTGAAACTTTCCGCAATTCTATAGCCCATTCTCATACTATGAATGGCCAATCATACTCCTAAACCCCATTTTTCACAAGCTTTCATTTGGTATTAAATTTATTGTTAATGCTATTTGAAATCATAGTGCTACCCCCCTGGAATAATATTATTTCCTACCCTGTACAATCACGAGCTAGGAAAAAAACATATATGTGAGAACCTCAATGATTCTCATAGGCGAACAAAGAAAGAGAAAAAAAAGATTAACCTGGACGAACAAGACGAGTAGATGGATAACCAAAGAGAATAGAAAAGACACGCGCACACTCACACACCGATACGTACACACATTCATATATACAGAAAAGAAGAGAAAGAAGAAGTGTTGATGTATGTGGATATTGTTAGAGTGCTCTTTAACAACTATACATTATTTAATATAAATAATTTTTAATACGCTCGAATTTACAGTATATTATACATATATATATATATATATTCTTCATGTCTAACTGTTTAAAATAATATCTTCTTTTAAATATTGCACGATTTCAGAAATATCATTGCAGCATTTTTTTAAAATAAAACCAAGATTTTCGTCCTGGTCTTCTTGAAGAGATGATTGTTTATTTTCTACACCTTCTGATTCTGCAATTGAAATGGGCGAAAACATATTTGTATAAAGATTTGGATCTTTATGCAAGATGCATTCATCCATTTCAAAATCAAAACTAAGTTTTTCTTCTTTAATATGCATCATATCATCCTTGATTTCAATTACATCGTCCTTAATTTCAATCATATCTTCCTTTTCTTCTTTCTCATCATTTGTTTGTAATAAATTGCATTGTCCACAATGAACACATGGAATAGTGAATTGATTATTTTGTTGATGAGCAACAGGAAATTGAAGGATTATTGTTGATACGGGTAATATAATGGATATTGATCCATTCATCTATATTTAAAGATATGTCTTAATGAATAAAAAAATATTTTAATGGTAATACTTGTTGATTATTGCTGATTGTAATAGTTGTCGTCATTGTAACAATTAAATTTTATGAGTAATATAGGTGTGTTGTTTGTCAATATCTAGAAGAACAGATGAATAGTCTATTATAGATAAAGTATCTAATAGTCGATGGTTACAAAGCATAATTTTCATTTCTCACAAAAAACCGATGGTCTTACTTTCTTTGTGGAAAATATCTTTTTCTTATACTTTCTCTATTAATCATTGGTAATTTTAGAAACACACTTGTCAAGGAGAAATTGAAAAAGCATCAATAGGTCATTATAATCAACATGAATCATAGCGTCAAAAATTTGATGCAATCCAGTTGTTTCCTTATATTTTTTGACTAAAACAACCAATCAATATGAATCTTGCAAGAGAGAGAGAGAGAATAGAACATACTTATACGCGCAACTATTAAAGAATAACACATAATAATAATGTTTAAAAATAATGTTGTTTTTTGAAGAAGAGTACTGAACTAAATAGTTTATCGATGAGAACATCACCTTTTCATCGTTTCCATTGACACCAAAAGTGAAAATAAATCAATTAGTATCTACTACAACGCTATGACAAAAGATTTGCAATAACGAGAGCATGACATTTTATTCATACATGAAAGAATGATTTACAAAAAACAACAATGGCTAATTAACAGCACAAGTAAGAAGAATAACTTGAGGAGTTAATATTGACAAACAATAATGATTATTAATTTAATAAAACAAGAAATAATATTTGCTATATTTATACACATACATACAAATTGTACATAAAAAACCCTCCTAACCAAAAAAAACATCCAAAAGTTTTTGTATACAATAATCGTTTTTAACTAAAAAGTGGCTATTCATCCGCCACCACATGTTCAACTTTGCTATTCGCTCATGTACTATCATGGAAACAAACAGGACTATAATTTAGAAGCAGTCATAAAAAGTGAAGAAAACATACTCTCATGTATTTTTATATTTTGAGCCATTATTTGTTCAGAAAGACGTTGAATGAATTTTTTGAAAAATTCCTATGTGAATAGATATAGAGTTTACCATTCATATAAAGACTACTTTCATACCACATGATAAAAATTATCAAGACGATTTCTAAATGCATAACGACAGATATCTATAATCTGTTGTGGTGGAAATGGTCTAAATGTAGATTCTGAATTAATATGATCAGATGGATAGTATCTAACAAGTGATATTTCTTTTATTGATTGTGCTGCTCGAAGAGCGGCATATGTTTCTTCCTCTTTTCGAAAGAAGAGGTAGAAAATTGCTTTCCCATTCTTTGATGGAACACGACGATACTTATAATATTTCAATTGTTGATGGAATTTACCGCTCATATCATTGTTCGTTATTTCAACATCACTGCGATTGTTGAGAACTAATCTATATTCCATACTTTAATGTACTGAAATCAAAGTTGAATGTGATAATGAATGTAAAATTAGCTGAAAATTTGAAAATCGCTCGAGTTTGTTTCTTTCTTTCTTGGTAGGAAAAAATAATCTGTATTTGATCCTATCCAATAAAGAGAATTTATTGCGTGCGCAATTGATTGCACTTTTTTTAATTACTCTCTTAAAACAGCCCATCTGATTTAAGAGAAAAGGGTGTGGGTGTGGGTGTGGGTGTGGGTGTGGGTGTGGGTGTGGGTGTGGGTGTGGGGGTGGGTGTGGGTGTGGGTGTGGGGGTGGGTGTGGGTGTAGG